ATTGTGATCTAGCTTCATTTTAGGTATATATATTCATGAAGCATACAGGATAAAGTTTACGTGCAAATTTAGCAACAGCTGTTCACCTATCTGTGTTAACTGCCCAGTGGTTCTGAAGCAGAATATTCAGATAAAGTTGCACCACAACACCCCCCTCCCCCTCCAGATCTTTCAGCAGAGATCCAATCTCTACATCTTATGACTCACTTGCAGAACTGAAACAGGGTCAGCTACCTTAACAAACATCACTGCGGACCTTCCACATCTTCCTAAAGAAGCTCTATTTTGCCTGATGTGCTCTGTGTGTGGGGACATGGCAGCACGCAGACTATCAACCCAGCATATTTCTAAACTAATAGCTAAGACGTAGCAAGGGCAAAAGTAAAAAATGACACATTTCAATCACGAGGCGCCTAAAGGGTTAACTAACCCTAAAACTCTAAAACTTCCAATTTTGAGGGCAGATACATTTAAAGGGATTTTTAAGAGTGACGGGGAAAAAAATCTGGCCATTTTAATGATACAAACAACCTCAAGGGAAAAAGGCAAATATTTAAAGGGCACCCAAAGTCTTTGGTTACCTACAGTGATGTTTCCCCCCCACAAGTGGACAAGCACAAGGAAAAGTCCGTTCCCTTTTCTACAGCAAAAAGGGAATCATCCTTAATGGCTTGCAAAATAAATTCTAAATAGCTCTTGAACAACTTTTAGTTGCATCTGAGTTGTTTTTTTATCTTTGCAATGGTCCATGCTGTGCTTCAACAGTGAGAAATTCCCACTATATTTCCCAGTTTCACCTAAATGATGCTGCAAATACTGGTATCGCCGTTCTGGAGGATTCATACTACTGATGAACAAACCGATAATCGAGGAGCTGAGCTGCAAGAAAGTGACATCTTTGATCTTTGTTATAGCCCAGTGAGAGAGAATGATGGGTGTTGCCAAGATATAAAAAGGATACAAGCAAATGGAGCCCTGAAATGCCAACTTTGGGCAGCGCTGGCCCCTTACATAAACTAGGATAGATCTATCCAGGAAAGTGTTAATTCCGGGGCCTCCCCACAGCACTGGCCCAGTGCATATCGCCAAATCTAGACATCACCCAGGTGTGTCTGGATAGTATCAGCTATCCCAGCCTGGGGAAGGCTGAGCGCTGAAAGGGGCGGAGCTCTCAATTAAACTCAACATTGCACCCATGAGAAGAAAATATCTTAAGTTTGTCCATCCTCCAACAAGCAGAGTCACATCGGTCCATCCCTGGAGATTTTTCATCAAATGTCTGTTTCCACATCAGTTTTTTTCTAGAAATGATTATTTTGGCCACTGTGCCAATTACTTTTCCTAGGCTCTTCTGCATCAGATATTTTCCAGCATGCTGATTCCATTTACTAATTTTCCAAATACACTGTCTGCTGGTCCTCTGAAGGCAGGCAAACCTTGACACCATTTCACCTAGCCATAATTGCAATCCACCTATCAATCATTTGCTCATCGAAGCGTTCAGGTCACGCACTGAAACGTGAAAATTTTTATAGTTATTGATTTATTGCTTATCAATTGTCTGTCTCATGAATAGTTAATTTTCATGATTTGTTCTATCTTCACCTACAAATCCAATTTCTGCTTCCTCATAAACGCTTCATAAAAAGCTCATGATTAGCAGCAGTCACCAAGAGTGAGAACCCGTGTGATAATTCTTTGAAATTGACTTTTTTGTGTGTGATGTGTACCGCAAAAAAAAAAAAAAAGCAACATGATAAAGAATACAAAACCTGAGACACAATATAATTTATGAAACGAAAACAGCACGTTCTAAAAAATTCACAAATAATGCATGGCGGTGAAATTAGAACTTCCCCCCCCACTTAAATCTTCCCATCCTAAGAAAATAAATAATGCCAGTAGGAAATGGCCAACAAGTGCACAATGGCAGCATCGTTTCTATTTTCTTCAGGAAAAGAAGAAGCAAAATAGTCTGTAGAAGATTTGCCAGCGTGCTGAGAAACAACAGCGCTGGATTCAAAACAAGATTATCACTTGCGATGCTAAAAATAGCTACTTTGTTATAAATAATTTAGATAAAGTATTATTACTCTTCCCTATTAATCATTGAAATAAACAGCATTTTTTTTGACTGCCCCAACCCCAGCAGGTTTACCAATCCCCCCTCCCCCAGTGAACACTGCGAGCCAGCGGCTGCTCTGGGCTTTATGGTAATGCATTAACAAGATGAAGAGAGCAATCTGTTTATTTAATATGATCAGTATTATCCGTCATAAATGATAGGCAGCCTCCGTGTCCATGGCCCGAGCCTGTAAGCCCTGCAGTGCCGGCCATCCTGGGGACTTGGTGCATGTGGTCCCCAGGCACTGCAGGTGGGCAAGGAGGCGAGTTATCGTTACGAGAGGCAAATAATCAAAGGACCTGGAGGGGGGCAGGTATAAAATATCTTAGTGTGCACATACAGGCGGGCAACATTGAACACCAAGAATTCACATGTTGAAGAATAAATTGTAAACGCTATTATAGTGAGCAGAGAAACATACATAGGAAGGTATAAAATAGTATAAGATTTCTAAATATATAGAAAGATATATAAACACGTAGCAAATATCTTTCCACATACGGCAAAAATACACAAAAATCTTTGGGAATCTGATAAAACGCACGCTGCAAACCGTATACACAGCAATCAAGGAGGTGACACACTGCAGACAACCTCAACAAACCTTTTCTGCTTGACCAGGCCTGAGCCAGCAGATGTGCACTCAGGAGATGAGGCCCTCTCGGACAGCGTGCCCTCCAAAAACGCTGATAGGAGAGAGGCTGGGGTAGGAGGAGGGGGCTAGCTTTGATAAAATGCCCCCCACCGCCCCGAAATAGACTTTTTTGCATGCTACAGCACGTACGTGCCAGCTCTAGACAACAGAGAATGGTATCAGAGCATCCTAAAGGACCTGTGGATTGCATTGAACATGACAGCTGCCTGAAGGACCCGTGAATCACCATTATGACAACCACTTTTAGGACCTAAATGACAGGGGCTCGTGGGGACAGAGATGGGCCAGGAGGGTGCAGAGGAACTACAAGTCCCAGGCAGAAGGTCATGATGGGGCTTATAGTTCCTCATCATCTCGGTGGCCCAATGGGGAGGGTGTGAAGAACTAGAAAGCATGATGGGGAACAGGGTTAGTGCAGGATGGTAGTCTAAGACCCCTCACCTTGGTGGTCTCCCTCTGGGATGTACATTGTCCGGCTTTCATTGACCATCGAGGAATAGAAAAGGGTCCCTGCTAAATCCCCCGCAGAAGGCCAGATCCGGTTGTCAGCTTCCAGGAGACAGGGAGGCAGGAGAGATGGAGCTATGCCCAGAGGTAGGTCCCCGATTTACAGGAGGGAGATAAGTCTGGTAATGGTGGGGTGTTGGGTCCAGTCTGGTGATGGGGGGAGGTCAGTAATATTGGGTTCCCTCCAAGAGACTGGAGGGGGTTCTCCAAGAATGAGGATCTGTTTGTATCCAGAGCTGGGGTGTGATTTTGGGTGTCTTGGGGGGGGAACGTGATGGAAAATTGTGGTGGCAGGGGTTTTAGTTAGGAATTATTTGGGGTTAAGGAATGGTGTGTAAGGAAGGGGGGGTTAGATGTGTCCAGTGATTATTCAGGGAAGGTGGGTGGCTAGGTGCAATAGTTAATGAAGAAGGGGGCTGTGTCCTGTGATGATGGGGCTATCTGTGGTCACCAGAAACAGATGAGATAGAAGGAAAGGGGTACAGTGGTTGAGGTCCCGTATGGAGGTCACTATGTCCACCTACCAGGGAGAGGGGCAGTCTTTGGACACCTGCGATGGGGAGGAGGGAGGCTACAAGAAATGATAGGGGGTCCAGAGATGGGCACTCTACACCCAGGAGGGTGTTCTCCAAAGATAGGGGTGCTCTGTGTCCAGAGATGCGGGTCCTCAATGATGAAGGGGCTATGTATCCAGAGATGGGGGACTCCAATGATGAAAGCTCTCTGTGCTTACAGATGGGGTCTCCAATAATGAGGGGTCCTTGTCTCCAGAGATGGGGTCTTCCAAAGATGAGGGATCTCTATGCCCAGAGATGGGGTTTCCAATGATGAGGGGTCTCTGTATCCAGAGAAGGGGTCTCCAATAATGAGGGGTCTCTGTGATCAGAGATGGGGGTCTCCAATGATGGGGGGGTCTCCAGTGATGAGGGTCTCTGTGTCCAGAGATGAGGCTCTCCAGTGATGAAGGTCCCTGTGTCTCCAGCAGTGAAGGTCTCTATGTCCAGGGGTGGAAGGTCTTCAGATTTGGGGGTCCTCAGTAATATGTCCTCCCCAACTGTCCGTCTGTCATTCTAAATTACCTGATCCCCATGCTGGTTTGGATGCTGCTGGACATGGTCAGTGGGGGAGTCTAGGGCCCCGGGCCCCCCAGCAGTGTAGAGCAGGCTCGGGGGGGAGACATGCTCTGTGTGCTGGCAGCGGCCGCTTCTGCAGAGGGAGAGACAGCTCAGCCCCTCCGCCGGCGTCACTCACCCCCCCCCCCCTTCTCCTCCTCCCCCTCCTCCGGCTGATGCTGCTGCTGCTGGACAGATGTGCTGCTGCTGCTGCTGCTGCCGGGAGACGCTGCGCTCTACAGGGGCCAAATCACTGCTTCCAGGGACCACACGTCTTCTTCCACCGAGAACACACAGCACAGTACTGGGAGCACACTGCGTTGTATATGTATGTCCCATCGCTGCTTCTAGGGGCCACAGTTCTCCTTCTAGAGACCACAGTACACTATACAGATGACACACTGGGCTGGAAAGCGGCCAAACAGCTACTTCTAAGGGCCACACTGCAGTGTACGGGGACCACGCGGCTCTATACAGGGACCAAACACTGCGCCTTCCAGGGGCAACAGTGCTCTTTACAAGAATCGGAGGTGTTCAATAGCCACACTGCCCTGTACAGGGGCCACACAGCTCTATTCCTAGGGTCAAACACTGTACCGTACAGAGACCTCAGGGAACAGGCAGGTACTCCCAGAGCCACTGCACCACACAGGGGGTCATACTGCTCTATACAGGGGCCAATGGGCAGAGACTGCAGATTTGAAACAAGAGATGGTCAGAGACTGCAGACATACTACAGTAGATGGTCAGAGAGACTGCAGACTTGTAACAGGAAATGGTCAGAGACTGCAGACATAATACACTACTGGAGATGGTCAGAGACTGCAGTAACATGCTACAGGAGATGATTAGAGACTGCAGGAGATATGAAACAGGAGATGGTCAGAGACTGCAGACATACTACAGGAGATGATTAGAGACTACAGACATACTACAGGAGACGATCAGAGACTGCAGACTTGTAACAGAAAATGGTCAGAGACTGCAAACTTGTAACAGGAAATGGTCAGAGACTGCAGACATACTACAAGAGATGATTAGAGACTGCAGACATGCTACAGGAGATGATCAGAGACTACAGATATGAAACAGGAGATGACCAGAGACTGCAGACATACTATAGGAGATTATAAGAGACCTGATTCTGTGTGCATTATGTGAGATCACTACTACTACAGACACATTAAAAGTTAATGCATTTGTTCCTGATAGCCCTCTTAAAATCGACTTGTGCCACATTTGATATTTCTCTCAGTGAGATCCATTATAAAAGATTAGAGGAAAAAAATGTAAAAAGAGATGTAGAGCACAGACGCTAAGAATAGTGTGAGAGAAATAAGCTAAACCATTAACTGCTATGAGACTGCAGGGGCCCCACAGTGCCAAAGGGCCACATATGACATGTGGCCACAGGTTGGGCACCAAGATTGTAGGATATCCCAAGTCTTTGAAAAAAATCTAATTTTCTGGGTAGACATATCTAATACATACCTGAAGTCCTACACATGCATTTGTCCATCAGGCTAGGCACCTTAATATGGAGCAGATATTGAGCAGGGCTTCCTGGATGAAGTGGGAAATGATTGGATTGTGGTACAGTGAATCTCCAGGTTGGTTTAGAATTGCAACTTTGATTCTACCTACTTGATGTACAGAGCACAAAAGGAAGTCTGCCTTATATTGTTGTTACATATTTACATAGTCTGGTTGAAAAAAGACAAAAGTCCATCCAGTTCAACCATTATTCAACTGTTGGCTTGTAATTTTTTTAGAAAAAAAAAAAAGAGTTATAATCCTATACCAACAGTTGATCCAGAGGAAGGAAAAAAAAACCCAGCAAAGCATGATCCAATTTGCCCCTGCAGAGAAAAAAATTCCTTTCTGATCCCCCGAGAGGCAATCGGATATTCCCTGGATCAACGTTACCTATAAATGTCAGTATCCAGTTATATTCTGTGTATCTAAGAAACAATCCAAGCCTTTTTTAAAGCAATCCACTGAGTTGGCCAGAACCAACTCTTGAGGGAGTCTATTCCACATTTTCACAGCTCTCACTGTAAAGAAACCTTTCTGTATTTGGAGATTAAATTTATTTTCCTCCAGACGTAAAGAGTGCCCCCTTGTCCTCTGTGATGACTTCAGGGTGAATAGCTCTACACCGAGTTCACTATATGAACCACTGATGTATTTATACATGGTGATCATATCCCCCATTAATCTCCTCTTCTCAAGAGAGAATAAATTCAGTTCCTCTAATCTTTCCTCATAGCTGAGCTCCTCCATGCCTCGTATCAGTTTGGTTGCCCTTCTCTGTACTTTCTCCAGTTCCCCAATGTTCTTTTTGTGAATTGGTGCCCAAAACTGAACTGCATATTCCAGATGAGGTCTTACTAATGATTTGTACCGGGGTAATGATATCTCTCTCTCTGGAGTCTATACCTCTTTTAATACAAGAGAAGATTTTGCTCACTTTAGAAACTGCAGCTTGGCATTGCATGTCATTATTAAACTTGTGGTCTACCAGAACTCCCAGATTCTTCCCCACCATTGACTCCCTCAGTTGTACCCCCCCCTAGTATGTATGATGCATGCATATTCTTAGCCCCCAAGTGCATAACCTTCCATTTATCAACATTAAATCTCATTTGCCACATAGTTGCCCAATTAAACAGTGCATTGAGGTCGGCTTGTAAATTGGAGACTTCCTGTAAGGACGTTATTCCACTGCACAGCTTGGTGTCATCTGCAAAGACTGAAATGGGATTTTTAACCCCAGATATAAATATATTAAAATGTAAGGGTCCCAACACAACCTTGGGGTACACCACTGACAACCCTAGACCATTCAGAGTATGAATCATTAACCACTACTCTCTGAATACGATCCTTTAGCCAGTTTTATATCCATTTACATACACATTTTTTTTAAGCCAGTAGACTTTACTTTACACATTAGCTGTGTGTGGGGAACTGTGTCAAACGCTTTTGCAAAATCCAAGTATACCACGTCCACAGCCACCCCTCTGTCCAAGGTTTTGCTCACCTCCTCATAAAAAGAAATCAGATTTGTTTGACAACTTCTGTCTTTCATGAATCCATGCTGTCTGTTGCTTAACATATTTTTTTCCAGCAAGAACTCATCTATGTGGCCTTTTATTAAACTCTCCAACTAGGGCGGACTGACCATTTGGAAACTCGGGCACTGCCCGAGGTCCCGGGGTCAGTAGGAGGCCCCATGAGATGCCCCTGGTACCTTTTTCATAGGCTTTTTTGAGTTTGGGCAAGGACACAGGGGTCCCATGATCCCCTATTGCCTGGGGCAGGGGCAGACTGACCACTCATGGCGCCCCCGGGCAAATTTTAAACTTGTTGCCCATTGGAAAATTAGCTCTCTTAAAATTTAGTATTTTTATTTTTCCTGTATGTGTTTGCTGTTTACAGCTAACAATAAATGAATACATGGCAGCAGTCTCTAGCAGTATTCTGTAGTGTGGGAACATTTTCTAACTGTCTCTTATAACATGACAACAATCTTCTGTCACTAAACAAAAATATTTATATACAGCTCTCAGCAGTGATTTAATCTGTCCTTCCAAGTGTCCAAATGAACCTTCAAATAAGAACTTTCAATTCATAATCTAAGTGCAAAATTTTCTCAAAGTGCTTCATGCTCAAAAGGATTAATAAACTGATAGATGCTCTTTAAAAAGTGCTCTTGAAATTGCTCTTCTTTTAGTGACCCCCAAATTGACCACACTCACCAGATTTGATGAACCCCTTGCTGGTGAGAGTGGTCTCTTAGGGGGTCATTAAAAGAAGAGCACCTTCCAAGAGCACTTTTTAAAGAGCATCTGTCACTTTATTTATCGCTTTGAGTACGGAGTACTTTGAGAAGATTTTGCATGTACAGTGCTCAGCATAAATGAGTACACCCCTTTTGAAACGTAAGATTTTAATCAATATCTGAGTTTTATAGAATATTTGTTTAGCTCATTACATGAAAGTAAAGTTAATAATATAACTTAGATTACAAAATCTTCAGTTTTACTAAAATTAGTTGATGCAAAAATGAATACACCCCGCAACAAAAACTATGACATCTAGTATTTTATATGACTTCCATGATTTGTAAGGACAGCACCAAGACTTCTAGGCATGGAATGAACAAGTCGGCGACATATTGCAACATCTATCTTTTTCCATTCTTCAAGAACGACCTCTTTTAGAGCCTGGATGCTGGATGGAGAGTGATGCTCAACTTGTTTCTTCAGAATTCCCTATAGGTGTTCGATTGGGTTCAGATCAGGAGACATACTTGGCCACTGAAGCACTTTCATCCTGTTCTTCAGAAATGCAACAGTGGCCTTAGATATGTGTTTTTGATGACTGTCATGTTGGAAAAGTGCACAATGACCAAGGGCATGGAGTGATGGTAGCAACTTCCTTTTCAATATAGAGCAGCACATCTGTAAATTCATGATACCATCAATATAATGCAGCTCTCCGACAGCAGCAGCACTCATGCACCCCCACAGAAGGACACTGCCACCATGTTTCACTATAGGCACCATGCATTTTTCTTTGTACTCCTCACCTCTGCGATGCCATACAGTTTTGAAGCAATCAGTTCCAAAACATTTATCTTGGTCTCATCACTCCAGAGTATGGAGTCCCAGCAGTCTTCTTCTTTTTCAGCATGGACCCTGGAAATTCTATGTGGAGATAAGTTGGCACAAATGAGTGTCCTCTGTTGTGTCCATAGTCCCACTTTGAGGGGAGAAGGAGAAGGGGGGACTGGAAGAGAAAACCCACTGTTGAATCCGACAGAGGATCCTTGAGGGCTCCAGGACAGTAGACACTTCAAGGATAGCCTTCAGGGTAGAGCAGAAGAAGATCTCCAATATGACATGAGACATGTGGAAAAAGAGGTAGAGAAGGTGCCACTGAGTGCAGACTGTAATACACTTTGTTGAAAAATAGCTGAGAATACACTCACATTGAGAATATATATACAGTCACATCTGAAGTCTATAGGGATCTTCCAGGACTGGTGTGGATATGCTGCAGGTGGAGAATATCCAGAAACTCGGTCCAGAGCCGGCTGATGGCTGGATTGCCACTGTAGAGTGCGGTGGACCCACTACAGTGGCAATCCGGCCTTGCACCATCTCACAGCTGGCTCTGGACCCAGTTTCTGGATATCCTTCACCCACAGCGTATCCACACCAGTCCCAGAAGATCCCTATAGACTTCAGATGTGCCTGCATATATCTTCTCAAATGTGAGTGTATTCTCAGCTATTTTTCAATGAAGTGTAATACAGTCTGCACGCAGTGGCTCCTTCTCTATCTCTCTTTCCACCTGGCAAATTCTAGGCAGGCTTTTTTGTGCATGGGCTTTAGGAGAGGCTTCCTTTGTGGAAGACACCCATGCATGCCATTCCTCTGCAGTGTATGCCGTATTGTGTCATGGGAAACAATCACTTTCTACTTCTTTAGCTAACTGCAGTGAACTTGCATGATGATTTTCTTCAACCCTTCTAATCAGAAAACACTCCTGTCAAGGTGTTAACTTTCGTGGATAGGCTGGACATCTCTGAGATGTTTGCAGTTCCATCTTTGTTAAATTTCTGTATCACTTTTGCTACAGTATTCTGACCGATAAGAAAAGCTTTGATGATCTTCTTATAGCCTTCACCTTTCTTGTGTAAAGAAATTATTTTCTTTCTCATGACTTGTGACATTTCTCTTCCATGTGGTGACATTGCTGTCAGCATGAAATGGGAGGGTTTTTTTTTTTGTTAAGTAACAACCTTTTATAACCAACTGTCTGCTGGACACCGGTTTAATGAATAATTAGACTCACCTGTAGTTGAATTCTTGTTAATTAGGATTTTGCTGTCTATAATTTAGCTTTGCTGCTAAGACTTTCATTGGCGTGTATTCATTTTTGCAACATGGTCTTGAATGAATTTGTTAGGAAAAATACTTTTTTGTGTATGCAAATTAACAAATCTTGTCTGCAATCAATGGCCCGCATTTGAGGGAGTATTTTGTAATATAGTGTCCCATAGAAAATGTTG